AAAAAAAAAGATTTCAAAAGTGCTTTTAAAACTGTTCCCTGCCTCCCCCCCTCCTTTCCTGAACTTTTCTTGACCTAAGAAAAAAAGAAGGCGAAATAGCAGCTTCCCATTAGTTTCCCATTAGTTTCTATGGACAGAAAAGAGCAGATACGGATTAAATGGTTTTCAATGCATTCCTATGGGAAATGCAGATTCGACCTACAAACTTTTCAACCTACGAACCGCCTTCCAATACGGATTAAGTTCGTAAGTCGAGACCCCACTGTAGTAGAGAACCAGTTATCTGATTATGGCAGCATGCCAAGAAGAGAGAAGGGGAGAGTTGGCACACATAGGAACACAGTTCATTTATATTTTGGCTCAATATCTTGGTTTAATACCTTGGCTGAAGCAGGACACAGACTGGCTGATGGATATCTAGTTAACTTCCTGATTGAATTGCCATTTAAACCTGGAGGATACATTTCCAAAGCAAGCATTCTGTTGTTGACACCACAATTGCTTTCTGACACTGCTAAGTATTTCAACATGTCTTTTCTAGTTATTTATTTTTTTATCATTTTCTCTCATTTTGCCCCTTTCTTTGGGATGCTAGATCATCAGTGGGAGGCTGATACTAAAGGAAGCGTAGAATGCTGTGACATAGCTAAATGAATAATAAGGAATAAGGTTTAACTATCTATGAGTGCAGAAGGATTGGTCTTGTTTGCCTGTAGTCCAGATAGTTGATATTCCTTACAGTACCACTCTATATGGATGCACTGTTCCTTGTATCCAAGATGTAGTTGGCTTTAAGTTCTGCAAACTGATCCATATGATACATGAGTACTGTATCATGAAGCTTTATGGAGTCTCACATGTATACAACAAATATTGCATGGACTGTACGTTTTTATGTATGAGCTGTGTGAGAATTTAATAGGTATACCACCCTGTCTGATCTTGCTTGTAGAATTGCTTTTGTTTGTTTGTTTGTTTGTTTACGAATAACCTCTTTTAATTACTGTGTTTGCAAAGGTCACACAGTTATAAATACATATTCATGTTTTATTTTTATGTTATTATTTACTGAGGAGTGTGCTTTGGGTTGTATCATAATTTGTTCCATACCATTAACATATGTTTGCAGTTAAATGTTCCAAGAATTATGATAAATTCTTCATAGCCATTTGTGATACCTCCATCTTCATATGTGTTCATTTATTTCTATCTCTTATTACAATTAGCATAAACCATCAAGAAGTTAGACTATAACCAACATAGAGCTTGGAAACTGGCAAGGCCTCCCAGGGAACTCAGTGAAGTTGTTCTGAAGATAGTTTCAAAGCATTTCTAATATTAGCTGCCAAGACATGATATAGGTAGAATTAAAACACTTTTCCATTCATTAACTTTCTATTCAGAATTAATAGGACTTAAAATCCAAATTGATATGTGTCCCCACTTCTACTTCTGATAAACTTGGAAGCAGAACTGACAGGTTTCTGATTAAATTTATGCAGTTTACACATATGTAGAAAAAACTGCTGTTTTCTGTTAATTTAGTCACTAAAGGAGGACTTCAAGAAAATAGTTTATTCTGTCATAACAGTAATATATGGTACAGTATATCACTTATGACAAAAGGAAACAGCAGTACAAATGGGACATCTGTCTGTGGGCTGTTGCAAGCAATAGGCAGTTAGAACTATAAACTTATTTAATGTTTGCCCTCTGGCTCTGAAGTACCAGAGTTGCCTTTTCTAAAACAAGAATGGGGAATTTACGGGCCTCCAGATGTTGCCAGACAGCAACTCCCACCAGCTGTGGCTATGCTATTTGCAACTGATGGGACTTGCATTCCTGCCTTACCTGATGGAGTTATATTCTTCCCATACCTGATCTTCTTTGCATATTCTCTAGATGGCTGTTCATTTTTGTGTGTATGTGTGTCACACTTATTCTATGATTTAATCTTCTTTTAGGATATGACTTCAGCTATTCTTAATTCTCCCCATTTGTCAAATTTATGAATGTTGAACGACTAACACACACCCCATATTGCCTTTTTACTAAAAGATGTTAAAATAATTTGGTTAAAACTTCTGAAACTTATAGTATTTTTGAAAACGGGATAAGGAATTTGAAAATGAGTGGAGGAACTAATAGTCATAAATTATTTTCAATTCCTTTTTTGCGCCAGTCAGTGTGGCCAAGAACTGGGAACGCTAGGAGAATAAGTCCAGCGTTTGGAGGTTCCCCACTACTGCTTAAAGGCATGAAGGGAACAGTGGCTTTTCTGGATCAACTGAGCTCATTTCCAGCTAAGATTTTTGATGCAGCAGTTTCAAGGTACAAAATAATAATAATAAACATGTCAACATTATAACACAGCCCACTCTGATCTCCCTTAGAAATTAATATAAAGAACTGAATACTTAATAATAAATTAACAGTAGTTAGCAAGTAATTCATTCTGAGAAAAGTATAATCCCATAAAAGTGGCAGGAACATCATTTTGTCCTATCAAAATTCTCCAAATTGAAGCTGGGTAAAAATTATTATTATTATTATTCAAACCTGTAATCCTTCCACATGTTAAATTCTAGGAGGACTCTTGATTTGGTATACAGCATATTAACTTCAAGGCATGTGGTCAGATACTGAAAATTAAATAGTGAAGTGCATGAATTTCTTAGTTTTAACGGTGTGTTCCGAGTCCACACTGTTAAAATCAATGACTCCTCAACCTCATTGTGCAAACACAAGCTCATCTTTACATGTTCATTTAGCGAATGTGAACTAAAGACTTCTTGCCATTGAATGCTGCACGTTTTACACTTTGTGCACACAAAAACCATTACTTTCCTAACAGCACTTTTACTGTTTCTGAATAGCAGCCTCAGAGGGGTATAGCTATTTAATAAATTGTCTTTATTTGCACAAAGCTTTGCCGCAGGAAATCTGCTGAGAATTGTCCAAAGGTAAAATGCAATTTAAGCCAAAGTCTACTCTAGTGTGCTCTTTTGTACATAATTTTTAATAGTGGGTCATAAAATTATTATAATACTTTTGTACCATTTCCTGTATTTCAAGCAAAAATGCATTATATTTAATAGAAAAAGAAGTTGGTGAGAGCGTAAGGAAGAAATCAGTGCTCTTAAAAGTGTGTGGGATATGTTAAAAGAAAATTAAATGGAAGTTAAAAATTCATTTTCTGTTCCTTTTAAAATATTTTAGACGTACTTGATTTGTGAACAGTTTTAAATGTTATAACTAAAGTATTACCTATTTGGTGGGATTCTTAAAGTGAAATTGAATATATGGGCAATTTGGTTAAACTAAATTAATAATAAACATTTATCAACAGAAGGTGGTAGCACTTAATATAAAGAAGAAACTTTTTAAAAGAAGTCCATAAGGGATTCCCTATAAAGGGCATTTAACAGAGATTTACAAATTATTATATTCTCTCATATTTAATGATTTTGAAATGCTTAGGGGCCCAGTATTATCTAAGTACTTTAAGCTTTAAAAATACTTGTGGCAAACAGTATGAACAGTTGTACTTTATGGAATATTGGCTGCAGAGAAGTGGGGGAAACCTCTCCCTGGTTTTTTCTTGGCCATAGATTCCTTATCTCAGGTTATAAATCCAGGCAAAGTTGATGACTGGCTACTTCAAGATCTTTTCCCATAAAATCTCTGTAGCTCAGTTCTTTCCTCACCCCTAACAATTGCTTAAGGGTAAAGCACCGAATGGGCTGCAGTAATGGGAATTGTGTTGAGAGACAAAAGTGTTTCTTTAGAATGTCATCTCCAGTATGAATGTAAATCCTTTCTTGTCCCATTCTTATACACTGATAGGAACATGCATAAATATTTCTCCTTATTCTAAGATGGAGAGGTGTTTTGTTTTGTTTTGTTTCAGTCTCAGAGAGAAAAGTACACATTTGTGAATTTGTTTTTTTATACATTTCTGTGAACGTACACACTTTAATTGCGGCCTTGTCACATAGACTGTTAAAAGAGCAACAGTTGTTTGCATCTTTGTGAACAATCCACCTGCATTTTATGCTTGCTATTTATGTGTGTTTAGTTTCACAGAAAGAAAATATGCTAAAGAGTTGAGACAAGTCATAACAAGAATCCCCAAACACTTTTATGTCTCACTCTTCTTTCGGAGATCTCTGGTAGAGGCCGGAGAACGCTTAGTAGATAATTCTAGTATGCCAAAACATGCTGTCTCAACCAAAAAATGGGACATAGCAAGACAATATATAGTCCTTTGTCACCCCCTGCAGGTCCCTTCTCCTAAAAGTGATCAACAGAGGGATGCTGAGAGGGTCAGGTTCTCCCTTTGCTGCTGTAGCAATCCACAGGTGTTAACAGGTGACACAAAGGCTTGAATGTCTTGAGCTCAGTTCTTTCTGCAAGGAGAGCAAAGGAATAAATCATACTTTGTTCCCCTTCTTTCTTCTGTAATTCCTTGTGGATTTCCTTTTGTAGCAAAGAATGATTTTTCTCAGGCTGGTAAATTGTCTAGCCTGTCAATTCTGCTTCTAACACTAGCCAGACTTGGGAAATGAAGGGAGTTGTCTCTGGCCACTCGTGTTTGCTGATAAATAGCATTTTTGTATATGGAAGCAGTCCTTACAGAAGAGCTTCTGACTTGTCCTTGAATTGATTTAATAATGTTTTAACATCATTTATGCCAATAGCCATGTACACATTCACTTATACTGTATTAGGCACTTATGCCCTGCTTTTCGCATATCCTTCAAGGAGGCTGTCAGATTATGTAACAGTAGAATAGCAAACAAAAGCAATAAAAATAGAAATAAGAAAGTACATAACTAAACTATTCATAAGTTCAGTATATGCTTTGGGAAGACAGTTGGGGAAAAATAGTAATAATAAAAAGCAAAGATAGCAATGCAGATGTTAGCTCAGTTTTCTTTCCATGTTCACAAGTTAATAAAGTCATTATTGTCCTTTCTTCTCTCACCCAAGAGCCTGTGCTTAAAAAACTAGAGCTGCTTAAATCTTTGTTAGAATGTAATCTCTGCCTCCCCAAAAAATGTTGTCTCTCTACTATTTATGTCCCTTATGCCCATTTTCTACATATTCTACAGTTCTTCTCTTTCATAAAGAACATGTATATTGATCAAGTTGGGGCCCAGTCACTTTGGGTTGGACTTTTTCCTCCTTATGAACGGTGAACTTATCTTTGAGTCTGTTACCAACCACTTACTTGGCAAGAAAGTTTCCTTTTCTGTGGTTTTGTCTGTTAACTCTGTGGAGTTAACTGTAGGGAAGATCTAACCACATAAAATCAAAGGGTGTGACATTAAGTGTGCAAAGATATGTTTGCTGTACAGTACATGGCCATGTTGTTACTTATGTATAGCAATAGCCATAGAACTTCAAACTTCAAACCAAAGACTATTTATGCCTGGGAGACAGGGAAGCTTAGTCTATCTGCCTGTCTTCAGCTTCTCCAGGACTTTGTGCCCCAGTTTCAGATTTCTTCTTTCTGCTTAATGGGAACCTTTCATTTTGAAAACTAGCTTTTGGAATACTGTTTTAATTCAGAGACACCATTTTAGAGGAGAGTATCAATTGAACAGAAAACTGATCAAAAGTGTTACTGCATATTAATCTTTTTCTTTTTCTTTCCAGAATGAACTGCTGGACACACGTGCAAAATTCCATGTTCTCTTCCTTTTCTTTGTGGCCGCCATGTTCTTCATCAGTATACTGTCATTGTTTAGCTACCATTGCTGGCTAGTTGGCAAAAATAGATCAACTATAGGTAAGTAAAAAAATTAATCATCATCATCTTGTCATTTCCATTTGCTTCCTAATTTTAACATATACATTCCTTCAGTTTGCTCAGAGTTGTCTTACTTTATCCTCACAACAACTTGGCTAAAGGTTTTTACTGGCTCTGGAACCTACTGAATGGCTTGTTCAACATCTTCATCAGGGTTAGCTTTAAGCCACCCCAAACATGGTTTGCTTGGATTACAGAGATGGAGAAAAGAGGTCTTGTGTATCTTCTCACTATAAGCAGTCTTTCATGCTGGCTCATAGACTTACTTTAGAAATGTCCATGAAATTTCATATAAGCCCACTGAGTATGGTGCATAGGGATGTTGTTTAATGGGAAAGAAAGCTGAAGGATCCCTTTACATATGGAGCCTGCATGTAAAGGACCTTTTTTCAAGAGCAATTTCTAGAATGCACTCAGGAGCAATGACGGCCTTAAGACAAAATAAGGATATATTGTGATCATCTCTATAATTATAAAGGAATGTGATTTCTGGCTAAAATACAAAATCGATATTGAGGTCAGAAGAAATAAAACTGATTAAACAGTTTTTCAGGTACTAAACAAATCTGTTAGAATGTAATCAAATGGGCATTTATTCTACTGCTTGGTCTTTTTGCTCATGATTGATCACATGATATAATTGCTGGAGTGAACCAGAGGTCCCCAGAGCATTCCTGCCGTGTTTCCCCGAAAATAAAACAAGGTCTTATATTAATTTTTGCTCCAAAAAACGAATTAGAGCTTATTTTCAGGGGATGTTTTATTTTATTTTTCATGTACCAGAATCTACATTGATTCAAATATAATTGTCATCTTCTTCTGGTTGCTACACAATGAGTCCCTGGTGGATGGCAGGGCTTCACATAACTGGGGCTTATTTTTGCAGTAGGGCTTATATTACGAGCATCCTGAAAAATCATATTAGGGCTTATTTTCAGGTTAGGTCTTATTTTTGGGGAAACAAGGTATCTGGACCTTTCTGGGTTCCTGTCAGGGGCTTCTAATTTTTTGGTACAGGAAGGATTGCTTCCTTTTGGTTCATTTCCATCACATAGTTTTGCTGGAAATGAAGTCAAGCAGAACTTGCAGTTGTCAACTTTGAATTTCCCATATCATGAAGTGGCTGAAGAGGCAGACACCCAATGATATTAGTAAATCAGACACCTCCTCTGCTGCTTCATGGGAGAGGCAAATGAAGTAAAAAAGATGTACATTGTATTATGGCAGCATTCACGTGCTGCATGACTTTTTTTTTTAATTTGAAACTTCCTCGTGGAAGGTCAGGCGGTAGATTTGGCTGCAGGCAGGTTCTCAACTGGATTGTTAGGAAAAGTCAAAAATAAAAGAAAATCCCCCTCCTTGCCCCCTTCTCCCACCTCCAGGAGGAAGTTTTCAATTATTTTTTTAATAAGCAGTGATTTCCAGTCGTGGTTCCCCAGATGTTCTTGGAGACTAACTCCCAGATATCCTGGCCAGCACAATTAGCAGTGAAGGCTTCTGGGAATTTTATTCCTAGAACATCTGAGGATCCAAGGTTAGAAACCAGTGTTTTAAATAACGTAGTACATCAGCACCTAATGCAATGTAAAAAAATTACAGAGGTTGTTTTCTTAAGTCATTTCACAATACGGTAAATCAAAGAGGAAGGAGCTGGATCAGATAGTGTCGCTATGCCATTTGAATGTGAGGTGTGTATGCCATTTGGACGTGAGGATCGCACAAAGTTGGATACTAGACCTGAACACGACCTCTTGCAAAGCTGTTCAGCCTGATCCAGCCCAATCCAATGAGTCCATGTAGACAAGCCTTTAGTGTTTAACATGCCTCAACACAGTGTCCTTTGCTCCTCTTTTTTTCATTTCCCCCCTTTAAATATCAAATACCACACTTATTGTATTAACTCGTAATGTGGTCTTCTAAACGGCCACGTAGATGTACTTAAGTGATGAATGTATTGTTCAGTAAACGTTTTTGTTTGCTGCTCCTTATGTCCTGTGAAGATCCTTTCTTTTCCAATTTGTTCATTTTGTTTTCCTTTTTATGTGTCATACAGAAGCATTCCGGGCACCTATGTTTCGAAATGGTCCTGACAAAAATGGTTTCTCACTTGGATGTAGCAAAAATCTAAGAGAGGTTTTTGGAGATGAAAAAAAATACTGGTTACTACCCATTTTTACCAGGTATTATTACTTAAATGGTTTGCTTCTCCTTTTAAAATTTCTTAGTTTGAGGCTCTAGAGTTTGGCAGTTAGGAGAAAACAGCAAATATTTATTTATTTATTTATTTATTTATTTATTTATTTATTTATTTATTTATTTATTTA